CGAAAATTTACTTCGACTTTCAACTTAGCGTGGATTCGAGATAATATAAATGGATAATCACACACTTTTACTTGTATTTCATAGCTTATATTTGGCGTTGTTAGGGGAAATTCGATGGAGGCTCGTGTTTTGAAAGCATATAAATCAATAACTTTCACATTAAGCACTATGAAGAAAAAATTATTCTAAATGGTTACATTTCACATCATTGAATTGATGAATGTACATTAAATTCCTTGATCAAAATTCGTTCAGCCATAACTCTTAGACACATTCGGTAGACCTCCCTTGAATTCAAGCCTCACAACTCTAGCACAACAACTGTCCATCACAAAAAATACGCGTTAGTCATTGCTCGTACTTGTACGTATTTGAGTGCGTACACATACATAAATACTCGATAAAAGGGTTGACTCAGGTCTTACATTCCGAATCTGTGGTGATCCAATTCCCTGTTCTGATACCATATTGATCTTGAATGTTTAGAGGAGTAGTGGTAACAGAAATCACATTCATTGACTGGTTATGTTTTAGAGAAGAAGCCATTGAAATTGCAGAATAGGCAGAGGAAGTAGTAGTGTTGCAACTCTCTAAATCCCATCCGAAACTGATCTTAGGGGATTCATTGCTTAGTTGATCATCACCTGGTACAGTTTTTAAAGCTGCTCGGTTTCGAAACTGCAAGACCTAAAACCATGTAGGACTTTTTTAGCACGCAGTATTAAATAGAACTGGACGATACACAAAACTTTACGTACCTTTCTCCCAGTGTACTTTCCCCCCTTCTCAGACTTGGCAGCAGCAGCCCATTTCAGCAGTTCCTTCATCCTAGAAATGGTTTTAATCTTACCGCCCTTCAATTTTTCTTTCTTTTCGACTTTAGAGCATTCGTTGCTTTTATTTGTAGTCGATACCTTAGCCGTGTCAGTAATTGGCAAAACCTTATTGCCTACATGAGAACCAGAATCTGTTTTGTGAGTAATTCCTAGCCCTCTTGCAATGTCTTCCTTTTTCATCTTCATAGGATGCCTTGAACGCTGCTGCCTTCTCCTAAAACTCCCCAACCTCTTCAAATTCAAGGAGTGATAGAAACAACCCTTTGCAATGTCTTTTCTGCGAAATATATAGAACAGATTCAAGGGAATGCAGTTCAATTTGCTGTGTTCTACTCTTTTTCGTTGTCTTTTCCTAGCCACGTGATCATTGAACACGACTACATCTCTCGACTGAACTTTCTGGTCTGCAAAACAAAAAAAGCCACAAACTAAGTATGTAAAGAATTGTACAAAGAAGCTACAATCTTTTTCAATAAACTCTCGTCTTACTGTGATGAACACCTTGTTTCTTGGTGGTGTGACTAGAATTGGGCTCTCTTGGATGTTCATCTGATACCTTGAAAAGCCATTGAAGGATCTGTTATGTACAAATGAGATAGATTGATTCATATCAGATCTTGAAGTGAATATTTTGATGGCAAAATTACAAATCTTAGCTGACCTGCATGTTAGGGTTGATAATATATTTATTGGGTCAAAATGGACAGCAAAACAGTGAATCTTTATGTGCTGTCTGTATTTCTAAAGATTCTTCCCGTTTTTGGCTATTTTTCTTGCAGTTTTAAGCCTATTTGCAGTGCAGATGAAGACAATATTTTGAGGAAATTTGGGGACAACTAGGATGTGAATATAGGATTGTGATTCTAGGAGTAACATGGTTTATTATATAAGCTGATCCATATGATCTGTATTAAGTAGATTTTAAGTTTTAATTAAGCACTTAATTTGTTAATGAATTTTGATTAGAAGATAATGGTGTTTAGCCTTGGTGGCACTTTAATTTACCATACAAGAGTAGGGCCGTCTGAATTTTTAAGTGGTCCTTACTCCTTTGTGCATTGGCCAATTTTGGTTGTTCCAAAATTTATTTGTTTTATTCCAAATTTTTGGTAGTATAGTCTATTGGGTAAGATGAAGTTATGGCTTACACTTACCTCAATGGTACAATAAGTTGATAATTGATAGTAGTTTTGTTCTCTCAAATGATAGCTCAATCGGGGATTTGATTAGCCCCGTTAGAAAATGTTTTGATTTACCTGTAATATTATTTTATGGAAGATTGTGTGGTTAAAAATAAAATAGAGAATAATAAATTTTTAGGATAAAAGGGGCCAAACGGGGGCTAAATGCAGTGACCTTCGAAAAAGTGCACAATAATTTGGTAAATTATAACTAGAAAATGGGGGGAAATGATGCTTTATTCTGAATTTTTGGAGAATATATA